ATTGCATACAGAATCTTGAGAATCTCAGCATGTTGCAAATGAAGAAACAGTCTCAGAAGTTGTGACTTGCCCAACTCAATTCTATTAAGTAGAGGTTTAATGAGTTCCTTCTCTAGAGCAGTCAAAGCATGGGATGTGTTAGGGTAGAATAAAAAAATCAGGGAAATGGTTCTCTCTTGTCCACCCATTGGGAGTGAAAAAATATGGGGGAAAGAAAAGGTTCCAATGATTTGGATATCCCTTAAGAAAAGGATTTCCAGAATGTTGTAAGACTGTTTTTTTTTTGTTTTTTTTTTTTTTCTGTTTTTACATTATCATTTTCTTCTGGCTTCCCTCTATCCATACGAATGTTATTATCATTTTCTTCTGGCTTCCCTCTATCCATACGAATGTTATAAGACCCTCGAAAGAAGAATGGTTAATTGTGTCATACATGGAGTGGGGATAGGAGAAGAAAGGGCGGTACTGAAGGAACTCTCAGGATAAATTTAAGATGGGCTTTTTTTTTTTTTTTTTTTTTGAGGCAGGGTTTCACTCTGTCACTGAGGCTGGAAGTGCAGTGGCATGATCAGGGTTCACTGCTGCCTCAACCTTCCAGGCTCAAGAGATCCTTTTGCCTCAGCCCCCTGAGGAGCTGGGGCACAGGCAGTGCCACCACGCCTAGCTATTTTTTTTCTATTTTTAGTAGAGTTGGGGTTTCACCATGTTGCCCAGGCTGACCTTGAACTCCTGAGCTCAAGCGATCTGCCCACCACGGCCTCTCAAAATGCTGGGATTACAGGTATGAGCCACTGCACCTGGTCTAAGGTGGGTCCTAAGAAATGTTAATTCTTATAGTGAACAGAGATGGAGGTGTTCTAGGTATAGTCACAGGAATTGCGGAGTGAATGGCATGTTTCTGGGGAACAGCAGACAGCTTCTTGATGTGGCTTGAGCCTGGGGTGAAGTGAGGTCTAATAGGAGACAGTGGATCTGAGGAGGCAGGCCGGAGATAGAAAAAAGGGCACTTGTCAAGGACTTAGTCAGTGGGCGGTCATCAGAGGTGTTTGAGCAAGACAAAGCAGTCTGGCCAGACTTGGGATTTGTAAATAATAATAATAATGCTAGGCACAGTGGCTCCCACCTGTAATCCCAGCACTTTGGGAGGCTGACGGGAGGATCACCTGAGGTCAGGAGTTCGAGACCAGCCTGGCCAACATGATGAAACCCTGTCTGTACTAAAAATACAAAAATTAGCCAGGCGTGGTGGCACGTGCCTGTAGTTCCAGCTACTCAGGAGACTGAGGCAGGAGAATCGCTTGAACCCAAGAGGCCGAGGTTGCAGTGAGCCGAGATCGCGCCACTGCACTCCAGCCTGGTGACAGAGTGTGGCTCTGTCTCAAAAAAAAATTTTTTTTTAAATAATAAGAGCCTGTGGAATTGAGATGGAGAAGAATTGGAGTGAGTGAATCAACCAGTGGGAAGGGCATTTCCTAGCTCAGCTGGAACTCAGTGAGTGCAACTAACGTTAGTTTCCTCTAAGTGAATAGGGACAAAGGAAAACCAGGCTAATGGTGTGTGCTCTTTAAGCTTTTGACTGAGTGTTTTGCTTATAGAAAATGTTGACTAAAGAAAAAAGTCAAGCTTTTAAAGAATTAAAGTTCATTTTATTCAGGAGTCTTACTGAGGACTACAGGCTGAGTATTTCAGTTCCCACTTCATATACAGGTGATACAGGTGGTGGAGATTCAGTACGCGCAAGGTCACATCAAAGTTTAGGTGTAAGAGTATATCTGGTTATAGATTACGAATGTACCTTTGGTAATAGTTTATAAAAGCATAATCACAACCCTGTTAGATGTTATCTTATATGTATGAAAAGGCAAGGCTGGGGCATTTATCATTTAAGGAATGTAAAAGCTCAGGCAAGAGATGTGGGGGGCCATGTGCTCTATCCTGCTCTGTCTTCAACTCATCCCTCCCAAGAGCTGCATGTTGTCACAGAGTCAGGGGTTTTGTGACATTGTGCTGGCAAGCAGAAGTGAGCAAAATGTGACTTCTTACATTTGCTACTTTGTCTTGCCTTGCAGAGGGAAGGCAGAAAGAAAGGAGACAGAGGCAGGACAGAGAACATTCTAATTTTAAAAGCTGTAAATATGAAGAGCAGGCTTTGACTTTTCATTTCTGATTAAAATCTTACGGTCAACAAATGCATTGGTGAAGCCTCACCCTTCCTCCTGCATGTTCTGCCATCTTTCTTATTAGCTAAACTCACTGGGCAAAGGAAAAACAGTGCCTTTCTTAAATTCTGGTGTGGGATTCCTACTTCTGTTCATCATTTTTCTTGCCACCCTCATCCTCGGTCAGAGAACCAGAAATTGCTTATTTATTAATTATTTATTTATTGAGACAGCCTCGCTCCGTCATGCCCAGGCTGGAGTGCAGTGGCATGATCTCGGCTCACTGCAACCTCTGCCTCCTGGGTTCAAGTGATTTTCCCACCTCAGTCTCCCAAGTAGCTGGGATTACAGGTGCATGTCACCACACCCAGCTAATTGTTTTGTATTTTTTAGTAGAGATGGGGTTTCATCATATTGGCCAGGCTGGTCTTGAACTCCTGACCTCAGGTGATCGGCCTGCCTTGGCCTCCTAAAGTGCTGGAATTACAGGCATGAGCCCCTGTGCCCGGCCTAGAAATTGCTTTTAACAGCTGTTTTTGCTTTCCTAATGTGAAGCAGGATCCGTGTTCCAAAAATGGCATTTGGCTGCTGCCGTAGCATGTGGTTCTAGCACATCCTGTGTCAGCATTCCATTTCCACAGTGAATATGGGAACATGCACACGATGGAAACTGTAATGGCTTACGACCTTGTAACCTTTGCAAGTCCCTCTCCTCATCTATAAATGAGGCCAGCTAAAAATACATCCCTTATTTAATTGTTGTTAGATACCATGTAAAATGGCA